CCCCCCCCTCCCCAGGAAAAAAAGTTTGGTCCTAGTCTTTTGCCCGTTACTGATCTCGTCGGATGAGAGCCATTGATACAACCACGTCCATTTTGGCGAGAACGCCCAAAATAGCGCAAACTATAGAAGTATTCAAATGACGTCATAGTTGTATCACATCTTTAAATAACAAATCAACCCACCCTGTAGCTTTTCACAAACCACGACGCCCGATGCATTCAAGAAGACATCTTTATCTTTAGTAATAGTTTCAGTTTTTGTTTTACTTAGAGTTTTACGGCACTTGCAGCAAAAATTAAAGGTCACATAAATGCCGAAGTGTAAAAGTCTTACTAGATCTAGAGAGTAACGTACGAGCCTCGTACAATGAATAAATTAAATGGAGGAGATGTTGGGACAATAGGCCAGATGTTTGATAGAAAAAATGGCAACAACATCTAAGCACCTGCGTGGGTGGTTGGCGAGTGCTATGGAGTGGTTTGCTTCTTCATTCCTATCAAACATCTATCGTCCATATCACCCCTTCTTCTTTTTTATATTTGTTAATCTCTTGTAACACCTCTAATCTTCTGGCGCTCATATGACCTTATGCAGTTGCGAGCGCCGTAAAACTTCTACTACGACTAAAAGCACCTGCCAATCACCCACTAATTAAGTTGTGAGTTGTGCAGACAGAATTCGTCAAATGTCCTAATTTCAGCCCTTACATGGCACCAGCTAAAAATCTACGATTTTGAAGTGTCTATTTTTTGGACAACATCTCCATTCGTGGATTGCGAGTCTCACATTTAAATTTATCGCTGGATATACTCACCCGCAAAGGCGCTGAGGATCCACATACAAATAAACAGCAGTGAGTATCTTTGTTCCGACATGGCTGCGGGAGGTTGGAGGGAGCCACTGGTAGGTCCTACTCCTTTACTTTCCTTCTGTTGTTTCTGTGATTCTGTCTTACTTGTTCCCAGCTTTAAATGACCGTTATTATGTCGGTGTGCTTCTCCTTATTCAAACATGCAAAATAAACAAACCCCACGTGACTGGAACAGCACCAAGGAGTGTCTATAAAAGGAAAAAGCGAACACGAAAGCGCGGGGTCCTCCTTTTTTCTCTTCATTATGTATTAATTATTGTGATTCCCCATCAACAATGGAAGGCGGATCAAAATGTGGGTGGGGCTAAGAAATGAGGGAAGGTTGAGTTCATAGGTAATTTTTAGAAGAAGAAGAAGAAGAAGAAGAAGAAGAAGAAGAAGAAGAAGAAGAAGAAGAAGAAGAAGAAGAAGAAGAAGAAGAAGAAGAAGAAGAAGAAGG